GTACCATACAGAAACATTTTGACCATGTTTTATTTTGGTTTGTACCATACAGAAACATTTTGACCATGTTTTATTTTGGTTTGTACCATACAGAAACATTTTGACCATGTTTTATTTTGGTTTGTACCATACAGAAACATTTTGACCATGTTTTATTTTGGTTTGTACCATACAGAAACATTTTGACAATGTTTTATTTTGGTTTGTACCATACAGAAACATTTTGACAATGTTTTATTTTGGTTTGTACCATACAGAAACATTTTGACCATGTTTTATTTTGGTTTGTACCATACAGAAACATTTTGACCATGTTTTATTTTGGTTTGTACCATACAGAAACATTTTGACCATGTTTTATTTTGGTTTGTACCATACAGAAACATTTTGACCATGTTTTATTTTGGTTTGTACCATACAGAAACATTTTGACCATGTTTTATTTTGGTTTGTACCATACAGAAACATTTTGACCATGTTTTATTTTGGTTTGTACCATACAGAAACATTTTGACCATGTTTTATTTTGGTTTGTACCATACAGAAACATTTTGACCATGTTTTATTTTGGTTTGTACCATACAGAAACATTTTGACCATGTTTTATTTTGGTTTGTACCATACAGAAACATTTTGACCATGTTTTATTTTGGTTTGTACCATACAGAAACATTTTGACCATGTTTTATTTTGGTTTGTACCATACAGAAACATTTTGACCATGTTTTATTTTGGTTTGTACCATACAGAAACATTTTGACCATGTTTTATTTTGGTTTGTACCATACAGAAACATTTTGACCATGTTTTATTTTGGTTTGTACCATACAGAAACATTTTGACCATGTTTTATTTTGGTTTGTACCATACAGAAACATTTTGACCATGTTTTATTTTGGTTTGTACCATACAGAAACATTTTGACCATGTTTTATTTTGGTTTGTACCATACAGAAACATTTTGACCATGTTTTAATTTTGGTTTGTACCATACAGAAACATTTTGACCATGTTTTATTTTGGTTTGTACCATACAGAAACATTTTGACCATGTTTTATTTTGGTTTGTACCATACAGAAACATTTTGACCATGTTTTATTTTGGTTTGTACCATACAGAAACATTTTGACCATGTTTTATTTTGGTTTGTACCATACAGAAACATTTTGACAATGTTTTATTTTGGTTTGTACCATACAGAAACATTTTGACAATGTTTTATTTTGGTTTGTACCATACAGAAACATTTTGACAATGTTTTATTTTGGTTTGTACCATGCAATTTTTTTTAACCGAGATATCTTCTTGAATAAATATATTTACATTGCAAGGATAGGCACAGTGTATATACAAAGTATATACAAAGAGGCAGTCATATCAATCGTTTGTTTTTTTCATAAGGAGAGAGATAAATTAACACCGGAGATGAACTTTTCGAGAATATTTCTTGGCAAAATTAACAAATGACATCTCCATAATCTCATTCTCAATAGGGTGTAGTAGCAGTGCAAGGGAAGACAAAGGCAGCGTTGTTGTCCTATGGATGATCGGAGACAAGTTTGTTTGTAATCATCTTTAGCTGGGCAGTACCAACTGTAGAGCGTTATCACTTGAAGGCCTACGAAACTTAGAGCCTCAATTCGGCGCTGGTCTCCGGGTACTCATTAGGTGACGACACACATGTCCCATTGCCCCGTCGACACGGTCCAAGGAGCTTGCCTCCGTTTCCCGTAGGGCAGTGGTCACGCGGTGGCTCCGTGGCACAGTGAGTGGCTCCCAATTTGGGGGAGGTCGCGAGTTCAAGCCCCGGCCGGGTTGCGGTTGACTCAGCCCAACCTTCCTCCTGCCGAGGTCAAATAAATAGTCGGTTTTTTTTTGGGGAGGGAGTCGGCAGTGTTTGTCCTCCGGATTGACTCATCACCGCGGCCATAGGAATGTGGAATTTCTATCCACAGGCTCAGTAGGGCTGCAAACAGGAGATTGGCACCGATGCCTCGGGCGCATATTGGAGCCCACTGGGGACCGCGGGAAATTACTTCTTACGGTTTTTGTGTGGCTTTTGTGTTGCGTGTTATTCGGCCAGCCGTTGGTGAGAATTCCACTCATTGAGGTTGCAGAGGGAAGGAGCGGGGAGGAGGGAGCGCTGCGAGAGTGTGGCCATGAGAAAGGGAGGAGAATGTGGAGGGAGAATGGGAGGAGGCCCTTGAATTATCATGAGAAGGGGCGATGGCGGCTGTGCTCGCGCATTCGCTCCCCTGGGCCCCTGGGCCCCTGGGCCGTTTGCGCGGCTTTGTGGGCCGTGGAGAATGGCGCGGACGATGACGGCGGTGACGACGTCGGATGGACGTTGGACGACTGGCGGAGGGTGGGGGGGGGACGTTGCCGCGATGATGATGACGATGATGACGATGAACGTCAAGCGGAGGATATTGATGCGAAACTATCGTCAACGTCTTTGCGGAGATGGTAAACGATGCTGAAATTAATAAGCAGACGACGCCCCTCCCCCCCGCTCATCCTCATAGCTGTCGTGCCACGCGTAGCACGTGCAGGCATCCCTCGATTTTACGAAAAGGGGATGCGTTTTTTTCAAAAAGCGCATGCAAAGGCGAAATTTTGTAAATCGAAAACGGCTTTTCCCATTAAGTTACTATTTAAAGTTAGGGATGTGTTTTGGACTGTCATTCCAGCTCCGCTCAAAACCTAAAACTACACCCCTAGCTTACTTTTTTACAATACAAAGAAATGATGATAAATGACGTAAGTCTAAAAACGATTGAAGAATATTAAGCGGAACAAAAATAAAAAATAAAAATTTCGGGGGAAACGCGGCAAAAGCTCCGCTGTACACTTTGGAATGACTGGCGAGGCGATGTTGAGGCGTTGCCGTGACGCCGGCGCGGATCGGTGTCGCAGCCTCGTTCGATGACCTCGCGGCGCGCGGGGCTGGAGTGAAATTTCGCGAACGCGGAAAATTTCGATTTTGTTCAGACGCGAAATTTCGGCAAACCCGAACAACGTCCGTTCACCCGAACAACGTCCGTTCACGTGGAAAGTTACGGCAGCCGAATGCTCTAAACGCGCGTTTCTAAATGCGGAGGGAATAGCCGCAGGACCCGGAGAAAAAATCCAAGCAGCCACTGGGAGAGAGAGCGAGAGAGAGAGACGCAACGTCCAAATATACAACAAGCGGCAGGGGTCGGGATCGAACCCACGACCTGCTGTATACCAGGCGAGGTAGTTAACATCTTGCCGACGTGATGATGATAAAAGAGAGAGAGACGCAAACTCCAAATATACAGCAGGCGTCGGGATCGAACCCACGACCTGCTGTATACCAGGCGAGGTAGTTAACATCTTGCCGACGTGATGATGATAAACGAGAGAGACGCAAACTCCAAATATACAGCAGGCGTCGGGATGGAACCCACGACCTGCTGTGTACCGGGCGAGGTGGTTAAACATCTCCTTGCCACCGTGACGCTTCTGCCTGCGGAGTAGCAGCCAGACGGCCGTTTGTCGTGGTTGCTGAAGGCAGAGCCGTGCCAAGTTTGTTTTCAAATTGTTTACACTGGGGCATTCGGGATGGCCGAGGTGGAAAAGAGCCCCACAGGGCCCCCGACTGTAAAGTCAGATAGCGCGGTCCCCCCCCCCCCCCCCCCCCCCCCCCATGGCGACGATTTCGCCGCAGCCGAATTTCGCATCGGCCTCGGTCGGCACGCAGCGCGGGTGGGTGAAGTTAGAGTGGTCCGCAACTTCACCCGACCGTTTGTTGATCCCACAGGTCCAATTTTTTTACCACCGTTTTTGCGAAAAATCACGTTTCCCACTGAGAATTTTCACCGCCGAAGCCGGTTGCGCGCATGTGTGCGGGGAGCGGGGAGCGGTAGTGTTGCGGGTTAGCGTGTTGCGCTACGAACCCGGCGGCCCGAGTTCGATTCTCGCTCACGGCCAACACCAGTGAAGATTATTTGAACCGGTCCTGGGCCTCCCCTAGGTCGACTCAGCCTCAAATGAATACCTGGTGCGCTGTGTAAACATCGCCACTGGGGAGACAAAAGCGGGCGGGCGTGGTGCTTTCCACCCACCCTCTCGTGTGCCACAGTGCCGGCCTTCAAAGGTGCTCGCTGACAGCACTTGCCCCAACAGTCTGTTGAGGCTATACGGGGGATCTTTGTCTTTGGTGACGCCACCGAGATGCGTGAAGGTGACGACGGTGTCCTCGCGGCGTGCCGACTGACGTCGCGCGCATCGCCCCCCCCCATCACCCCTGGCCCTGCTTGGCCCTGATCCAGATTGAGACGTCTTGCCACGCCGGCGTACTGCATGGAGCCAACCGTGCTAATCGGAGGGGCGGGGAGAGGAAGGACAACAAACGAAACAACAACAACAACAAGCTGTTTTAAAGAAATGAGTTTGTCAATCTCGATGATGATGATTTAAAGGCGCACGGCTCCCAGCGGCCTTCCTAACATCGGAGTGAAGAGCGTTCCAGACGGCCGCGTGAGCGCACCCGACAGCGCCGCGCGGTGCACGGTTCGGGTCAACGGCTCGGGTGCGGCAAACGACCGGTGGCAACCAGCCGTGCCGGGAGGGCCCCACGTTGGCCTCGGCCGGGCCGTGCCAGCGCGAGATGATGAAGGGCCTTCGTTGGGCGCGTCCAGCGACCCCTAACCCCCCCCCCTCCTCCTCCCCCACCACCACGTTGGGTCCGCGACGAGTCGGAGCGTTGTCGTTGGCGATCGATGGGGAGGAGAAAGCCGCTCCTAATTAGCGGCGGGGGTGGGGGGTAAGATTTCGGGGCCTTTAAAAAACAAAATCTGTTCGCCGCTCGGAAGGCCGCAGCGTGCCACAGGTGCCGCGCGGAGCGAGAGGGATCGACCGGGTCACCGGGGTCGTGTTGGGGAGCGGTGGCGCCGCGGTTAGCGCACTGCACCTCGAGCCCCCCCCCCCCCCCAGCCCCCCGACGGTCAGAGTTTGATTACCGGGCCACGGCCCGCACGAACGACGTCGGCGCTGTTCTTGGCCATCCACCGGCCGCCAGCCGGGCAGCGCTAACGCCGTACGGTGTGAACGCGAGGCGTCGTTTCTTTGAGCTCTTTAAAGAACAAGCGCACGGCGCTGGTTAAGGAGCGTCCCTTGTGGTGTGGCACGCAGCGTGCGCCTGCTGCAACACCGCCCACGCATTGCATTGCCGCCCACACGCCCCGATGCAGTGGCCGCCCACACACCGTTCACGACCCTGGGGAGCCGGTGGCCGAGATTCCGCATTCTTATGGCGGGGGGCGAGTAAGGGCTCCGTTGGACAACGGCTGTTGACTTCCCCAAAAGGTGCGTCTCATTTTATCCACCCCGGAGGGAGGGATGGATGATGGGCTGAGACAGACCCCCCCCCCCTCCCAATCGCACCTCCGATTAACACGGTTGGCTACTTACGGTACGTCGGATTTTCATATGTATAATGCATATATAATGTATATGTATAATGTATATAATGTATATGTACAATGAATGTGTGTAATGTATATATAATGTATATGTGTAATGTACATGTATAATGTCTATAATGTATATGTAATATGTATAATGTATATGTATAATGTATATGTGTAATGAATATGTATAATGTATATATGTGTAATGTATATATGTATAATGTGTATATGCATAATGTCTATGTATAATGTATATATGTATATGTACAATGTATATGTACAATGTATATGTACAATGTATATGTATAATGTATATGTACAATGAATATGTATATGTGTATAATGTATATGTGTATAATGTATATGTGTATAATGTATATGTGTATATGTATAATGTATATGTGTATAATGTATATGTGTATATGTATAATGTATGTGTATAATGTATATGTGTATAATGTATATATGTATATGTGTATAGTGTATATATGGTGTATAGTGTATATATGTATAATGTATATGTATAATGTATATATGTGTATAATGTGTATATGTGTATAATGTACAATATATATGTATAATGTATATGTACAATGTATATATGTGTATAATGTATATGTGTATAATGTATATGTGTATAATGTATATATGGTGTATAATGTATATATGGTGTATAGTGTATATATGTATAATGTATATATGTATAATATATATGTATAATGTATATGTACAATGTATATATGTGTATAATGTATATGTACAATGTATATATGTGTATAATGTATATGTACAATGTATATATGTGTATAATGTATATGTATATGTGTATAATGTATATATGGTGTATAGTGTATATATGTGTATAATGTATATGTGTATAATGTATATATGGTGTATAGTGTATATATGTGTACAATGTATATATGTGTATAATGTATATGTATATGTGTATAATGTATATATGGTGTATAGTGTATATATGGTGTATAATGTATATATGGTGTATAGTGTATATATGGTGTATAATGTATATATGGTGTATAATGTATATATGTGTATAATGTATATATGTGTATAATGTATATATATGTGTATAATGTATATATATGTGTATAATGTATATATATATGTATAATGTATATATATATGTGTAATGTGTATGGTCGTTGCCAGTGTGCACCACTGCCGCCGTGCAGCCCGCCGGGGTTACGGGCGTCGCCCCGGCGGGCTGCGGAGCCGCCGCCTCGTCGGCGATCCCCGCGCCCCCCCCCCCTCCCCCCTCGCTACTCATTAGGGGATTGCGATGTTTTTGTCGTGGGATTAAGCCACCTTAGGGTGGATCAGCGGAGCGAGCGCCGCGGACAGACGCAGCCGGCAAATCCAGCGGCACGCCGTCCTCCCCCCCCCCCCCGCGCTGTCCCTCCCCCCCCCCCACCCGTGCTGCTGGCACGGTAACGCGACACCGGGCCCCGTGGACCCACCGGCCGTTCCGCACATTACCCCCGCGTCGGCGTCTCGCCCGGGCCCGTCGCCCGGGCCCGTCGCCCGGGCCGGTCGCCCGGGCCGGTCGCCCGGGGTCGCCCGGGGTCACTCGGGGTCGGCCGACTCTGATTCAGAGGTCAAGAGGCACTGCTTGTGCAATCTCTTGAGGTGACCTCAGCGGGGGGCCCGGCGGGGTGGCCAAACCGGGATTCAGAATTTCTCAAAACTCGCAAATCAAGCGCAGAACCAGTGGCATCTACAGCTGCAGAACATGAAGAACCAGTGGCATCTACAGAACATGAAGAACCAGCGGCATCTACATCTACAGAACGTGAAGAACCAGTGGCATCTACATCTACAGAACATGAAGAACCAGCGGCATCTACAGCTGTAGAACACGAAGAACCAGTGGCATCTACATCTGCAGAACATGAAGAACCAGTGGCATCTACATCTACAGAACGTGAAGAACCAGTGGCATCTACATCTGCAGGAGATTATACAACTTTTAAAGCCATTCCCCGTGTTTAGTGTACACGCCGTACAACGTATATGGAATCGACAGAGAGTAACGTTGGAATTACGAACAAATCGACTTACGAACAGACCTCTGGAACCCAACTCGTTCGTAACTCGCTGGTTCAGTGGCACAGCGGCTAGCGCTGAACCGTGAAGAGACGCGCCATGGAAAAATCGTTGCGGCGTGTAAAACAACCGACTGGGGCGCGTGGTTCTGCCCTGGCCCTCGTTACGTCCTCGCTAACGGCACTTGCCTCAACAGTCTGTGTGAGCCACACAGGCTACCTTTGTCTTTTGCGTGTGAGCGCACATACACTCGGCAGCGCCAGCGGTGGCTAATCCAAGTGGAGGGGGGGGGGGGGCGGCTGTGGGGGTTACCCCCCCCCCCCTTCCTCACCCCTCCCTTGAGTTGAGGTACTCGAATAGGTTTGAATTGATATTTAGAAGATACGCTGCAGGGATTTGTGTGTTTGTGGGTTTAGATGTTCTGGGACCTCCCCCCCCCCCCCGCCATGGGAGGTTTTCCACATGTACCGGGTTGCGGTGGCGGTGGCGGTGGTGGCGTTAGTAGCGATGGTTGTCGTGATGGCGGTAGTGATGGTGGCGGTGGTGGTGGTGGTGATGACGGCCACTGCGTTGTTGTGACCGCCCTGCCGCTGCGACAGACCACGCTTGCGGTTCCGTGTTCGCCGGGCGAGCGTTCGAGGCACCGCTGCCCTCCAGGGCGAGGAGGTGAAGGAGAGGCGGAGGGGGCGAGCCACTCGTGGGTTTCGCGCGATCCAGCGGCGTTGCTGTGCCCAGGTGGTTCTGGCGAGCGCGGTGATCGCGACGCATCGTCACGAGGCGGCGATGCGGCGCGTGGAGATTCCCCGGAGAGAATCCCGACACGTTCGTCGGCCGCACCGTGGGTGTAACGGGCGATGTTTCAGGCAGTGAGCCTTGTCCATAGCTCGCGAACGCTTTATTCTTCAGAGCACGACTTAAGGACCTGTTCCCCCGAAACGTCGCGGCGAGTCGGGTGGGGGGGGGGGGGGGTGACACGGAGCGAGTTGAGCTGCCGTGCTGGCCGTGCCAGTGCACCGCCGCCAGGGCGGTGGTGGCGTCACCGGGCGACGCGCTCCACGCTCGCGATCGGCACGAGGGCGGTGCCGGGCCGGCTGGGCGAGGGGCGATCACGAGCGGGACGGCGTGGCACCGCTGCTGGCCCCTCGCAACGCAGGGGGCAGGCGCTCGGCCCCTGTGCCGCCCCCCACTCGCCCCCCACTCGCCCCCTCACTCGCCCCACACTCGCCCCCCACTCGCCCCCCCACTCGCCCCCCACTCGCCCCCCACTCGCCGCCGCTGCCACGCGTCCCTCGGAGAGGCCGCTTTGGCCGCGTTTACGTCTCGTGGCCGCGGCTCCGCCGGCCGTTTGTGCCGGGCTCGTCCGCCCGGCTAATTGCGTCGGTCCCCTGCGGCCTGTTGGCCTGCGGCGAGCTCGTGTTTACACACACACACTCTCGCGTGCGGGCGTCTTTACACACACACACACACACTCTCGCGTGCGGGCGTCTTTACACACACACACTGACGCGTGCGGGCGTCTTTACACAGACACACACTGACGCGCGTGTCCGGTACGGTCCTCGCCCATACACAGCAGCGGCCGCCAGCGCTCGCTCTCTCTCTCTCCTCTCTCCGGAGCGCACGTCCGGGCATGGTTCAAACGATTGGGACTCTACCCACACCAGGTTTCCCCGCGTTTACGGGTAACCCGCGTGCTGGCGCCGCCATCCAGAAAACCGAGGGGCGACGCGCTCTGGATGACATCTCCCGGCGCTCGTGGCAGGTCCTAGCGGTGCCTTCCTTCGCTGAAATCAACGCTGGAATCGGCCCGGCGCTTCCACTCGGCCTGACGGCAACGGGTCGCCGATTCTGTAAAACGGTGACCGTTTTTTTTTTTTGCAACCGGTCACCGTTTAACAACCCCCGTCGATGATGGAGGAGTCGCGAAGTGGGGGGGGGGGGGGGGGGGGCCGGGGGGGACCGGGGGGTGAGAGAGCGTGGGAGAGGAAACGGGGAGGGAGAGTGGCAGGCTGACGTCGTGCAATGAGAACGGGGTAGACCGTAGGATCGTGGGTGAACAAATGCAATGAGGGGACTGGAAAACAGGGGCGCATTATGGTCATCGGCGTGGTATTCACGCACGCACGCACGCCGGGCTGTGACTCGTGTTGTAAATCTGCCCCGTGTTTTCATCTGGTGCCAAGACGCGCGCGCACTGTACGCGTCGCTCCGCCAATCCCCCCGCCGCCAATCCCCCCGCCCCCGTCCGTTTCGCCGCTCTTTGCTTTGGCGTTGTTTTCCCGCGCCGCGGCGCAGAGGGCACGTCGTCGTCGTCGTCGTCGTCGTCGTCGTCCGCCCGTCGTCGTGGACGTTACAAAGCCACCTGCGACGGGCGGCGGCGAGGGTTCGTAGCGTGACGAGCCGGACCCCGGGACTTCTCAGAGCGGGAATTCAACCGAATTCAAGTGACGTCAGCGGGGTCAGGGTTGTTCCGTCTCCTTGGTTTGCGCGGTCGGCGGTGGCCGCGCTGAGACGCTCACCGAAGCCGATTTAACTCGCGGGCAGCCGCTGTAACCCGGAGCGGATTCCCGGTTGTCCCGGCGGTGCCGGATTCCGCACTCCACCCTCTTGAGCCAACCACCCGGCCCGCTTCGCTGTTCCTGTCTGTCAGACCCCCACGATTCAAACTCGCATTTGGGCTTTCTGCCCGGAGAGCCCAGAGCCAGAGCGAGCGCGAGCCAGAACAAACAAACAAACAACAACAACTCAACTTGCGTGTGCCCTTAGGAGTGAGCTTTAATCCGGGACTCGCTCTGTGATCGTGGTGGCTTTCGCGCCGATTCAGAGTGC